AACAAAATTCGACATCCTTGTTAGCAAAGCATTGCATTTCTTGACCGCAGTTGCTAGTCTTGACAAGCATGCTCAAAATTTCAATAATGGCGAGATTCTGAGTCAGGTGGTTGAGAAGGTCATTCTGCCCAATGTTAGCTTGAGAGAAACGGACATCGAACAATTCGAGGATGAGCCCATCGAGTATATCCGAAGAGATCTGGAGGGCTCAGATGCTGACACCAGAAGACGAGCAGCAACCGACTTCTTGCGCAAGCTTCTGGAGAAGTTTGAGCCACTTGTGACTGATGTTGTTGGGAGATATATTAAGCATTATCTTGACCAATTCTCCCAAAACGGTAGCGATCATTGGAAATCTAAAGATACCGCCGTATATTTGTTTTCGGCTATCGCAGCGAAGGGTGTCATCACAACAGGACAAGGAGTCAAAACCACAAATCCCTTGGTGAACGTTGTCGACTTTTTCCAACAGAATATTGCGAATGATCTTCTTGCGGAAAGCAACGTTGAGCCGATTTTGAAGGTTGATGCTATTAAATTCCTTTATACGTTCCGTAGTCAATTGACCAAAGATCAATGGAAAGCGGCATTTGAACCCCTGGTCAAAAATCTAGGTTCCTCGAACTATGTGGTTTACACTTACGCCGCAATTACTGTGGAAAGAGTCTTGTTTCTCACAAACGATGCAAACCAGCATATCTTTGGGAAGGAGGATGTATTGCCACTCGCCGAGAGCCTTTTAAATCACTTGTTCCATTTGATCGAGAAAGATGCCGCACCCGAGAAAATTCAGGAGAATGAGTTCCTCATGCGCTGTGTTATGAGAGTGCTCATTGTCATTAAGGACGGCGTTATTCCAATAGCAGATAATGTTTTGCAGCACTTGATTAAGATCACTCAAGTCATTGGCCAAAACCCTAGTAACCCACGCTTTTACTACTATCACTTCGAAGCCTTTGGTGCTTTGATCAGGTATGTGCACAAATTCTTTCCAAGATTCATTTGCTAACTTGATAAAGATGGTCGGCGCCTTCACAACCCGACAAACTTGAGAACGATCTGTATCCTACCTTTGCTGGTATTCTCTCTAGCGATGTTCAAGGTATGCTCAATATCCACTCAAAAAGGGGATCCTGCACTAACAATCATCAAGAATTCATGCCCTATGTCTTCCAACTATTCGCCGCTCTTCTGGAAGCCAACCCTTCCACGACACTTTCCGACTACTACAGAAACTTGATTGCCCCAATTCTAAGTCCTACCCTTTGGGAGTCTCGAGGAAACGTGCCAGCTCTGACTAGATTGCTTTCCGCCATGATCCCCAAATGCGCTGCTGAACTTGTAGCGAATAACCAACTCGAGCCAATACTTGGCATCTTTCAGAAGCTTATGGCCGGAAAATCAAGAACTGAGCTACAAAGTTTTGATGTTTTAGAAGCGTTGATTATTTCATGCAATGTGTAAGCAACTCTAATTCCCTTCCTAACATACCAATTGTTTCTGTTCTAACATGTGATAGCTCTGCCATTGAACAATACTTCCCTACGATTCTAAATATCATGTTCACACGCCTTAACAGCAACCCTCCCGAAGCCTTTAAGCGTCGCTTTGTCCGTTTCTACCATCTCATATCATCTAAGGATCAGCAAGGCCTTGGTGCAGATTTTTTTATAAAGCAATCAGATGCGGTGCAAGACACCGTATTTGTGCCTCTGTACTTGACCATTATCCTCCCAATCACCCAGCAATTCCCTCGGCCACTAGACCGCAAAATCGCTGTCATCTCTTTGACTAAGACCCTGACCGATTCCCAAGCGTTTGCCGTTAGATATAAGAAGGGTTGGTCTAAGACTTGTGAGGCTCTCCTCAAGTTGTTGGAGAACCCACCACTACCTGTCACAACCGATGATGTAGTGGCTGAAGCAGATGTCGACGACTTAAGTTTCGGAGTTGGATTTACACAACTCAACACTTGCAAGAAGGTTGCAGTTGACGAATGGCCAGAGATCACGGATGTAAAGCTTTGGGTGGGATCATATCTGAGGGAGGCAAATCAACGACACGACAGAGCAATTTCAGGTTACGTCAACGAAAGATTAAATTCTGAGGCCAGAAGTCTTTTGGTTGAGTATATGCAGTAGGATGAAATTTATCACGCACGATACGAAGGTGACGAAGTAATATGGAGGGTTTGTACCGATAAAGGAGCATTTCAGCGAGGCAAGCGAAAATTAGGTAGATTGGTTTCCATGATTCCCACAGTGAGTAGTATTGAGAAACAAGATGCATTACCATGACAAATCTTTGTTCAATATATGAATTATTGCAAGCAATTGCCTGGAATCTAGAAGTACTTGCCATTACGGGGATATGAAGCAATCACTTGCACATAAATGCCTTGAATTCTGAGACTAGAAGCAGTATTCCTCGTTACCTGCCCTTCTGTTAAATGATAAACCACGATCACACACATATCAAAGGCTGCTTCAAAAACTGTTTGTGCTCAGAATGTTGGCTGTCTTTGTGGAGCAAGTCATTCCGATGGAGAAAATTCATGAAATATGTCTGCATAGGCTCCAGATTTTGGACTCCATAACATTTTTCAACGCCCACTTCATGCCTAATTCAGATTTGGCAGTAACCTTGGAAGAGCTTTCTAGTGTTCCAATAAAATCTGAAAATCAAACATTCTCTCGAGCTTAAATGCTGATCTAGAGAAAATTACTTTTCATTTCACGCATAGATGAATTCGATATATATCAAGCCACACGTGACCATAAAATTCGAGTTAATCCGACAATTCAACAAAATCCTTTCCATTTGCTACAACAAGTGCTCGAAAGCGTTCCCAAATAATTTTTCTTGAATATGACAAATAGGTAGTTAAACAATTGTATTATTTTCGAAAATCGGCAAAGAAACACAATCATTAGAAGCTAGGAGAGTGAAAAATAGTGCTGAATATATTTAGGGAGATAGATTAACTAGCCCTAGTGTCCTAGTGTGATAACCGAACCTCGATTTTGAATCCTTTGGTGGTGGGGTTTAAATTTTTATTCTGCTTCGACGACGACTCCGAGCAACTTTACAGCATCATGAGCGCCTTTCAAAACGGCGGCATCGCATCGCGAGCCTTAGACGATGACTCCGATATTGAGGAGGAGGCTCTTGCCAACGACTATAAAGAACAGGTTCAATATGAAGGCATGGAAGAGTTGGAGCAGGTCAACTCGATGAGCATGGCACAACAAACGGATGATATTCAGTCGAGACTTGCTGCTGCTGCACAGCCCTTGGACTTTTCTGCTCCTTTGGAAGTCAAGTTTGCAAGCTACGATAATTATTGTAGTTTGTTTCACTTCATTTTGAACTCCGACGGGCCAGTTGACCTCGAACCACCATCGGTAAGTTCTTTGTTCGTTTATCGACAGACTCGCATGGGACGCTAATTATAGCTACAGTACTACTGGGCTTGGGATGTTATCGACGAGTTCATCTACCAGTTCAACTCTTTCTGCTCGTACAGAAATCGTGTCGCACGTCAAGGTACAAATGAAGAAGAAATTCAAATCCTCCGCGAGGCGCCAAACACATGGGGATGTTACAGTGTTTTGAACGTTTTATACTCTCTCATTCAAAGATCGCAGATCAACGAGCAACTAGCTGCCATGAAGCGCAATGAAGAGCCTATGGCGGTCGCCGGTGATTATGGTTCGAAGCCCTTGTACAGAATGCTCGGATACTTCTCCATCATTGGACTATTGCGAGTTCATTGTCTCCTCGGTGATTTCAGTCTCGCCTTGAAAACACTTGACGATATCGAGCTTAACAAGAAGGCTATGTTTGCGCGCGTCATGGCCGCTCATTTCACTACCTATTACTATGTAGGATTCTCATACATGATGATGCGCAGATACGCAGATGCCATCCGCATGTTCAGCCACATCTTGATCTACGTTTCAAGAACCAAGAACTTCCAAAAGAACGCTCAATATGACTCAATCTCCAAGAAGAACGATCAAATGTACGCTCTCATTGCCATCTGTGTGGCTTTCCACCCAACCCGTCTTGACGATACCATCCACACTGCTCTCCGCGAGAAGTACGGTGACCAACTCCTCAAACTTCAACGCGGTGGACCAGAATCTCTCCCAATCTTTGAGGAGCTATTCCGCTCTGCATGCCCCAAGTTTATCTCTCCTACTCCTCCTGACTTCGACAACCCAGAATTAAACGTTGACCCTCTCGAGCACCATCTATCTATCTTCATGGATGAGGTTAAGACGAACATGTGGAGCCCAACTGTGAAGTCCTATCTCAGATTATACACCACCATGGATGTAAAGAAGTTGGCTGGATTCTTGGAGGTTGAACCTGAGAAGTTGAGGGGTTGGTTATTGGTCAACAAGCAACGCAGCAGACAAATTAGATGGACTGATAATGGATTGTTGGACGGAGAAGTAGTCAACTCTAACGATCTCGATTACGCTATGCAAGGAGTAAGTCTTTCAGAAAAAAAAACCAATGCCAAATACAAGATTGTTAATAAAATTTACAGGATCTCATTCATATTTCTGAAGCAAAGGTCGGCCGCAAATTGGTGGACTGGTATCTCAGAAACCTTACTCGCACATACTAAAATACCTTTCATGCTTTTCTCTTGACAATATTGCTTTCAACTCTATGGCATTGGTATGGCGTACTGGGGGGTGGAAAAGACAAATCCACGAAATGGCTTGTCAAAAATGGACGAAGGCGAGGAGCCTTACAAGTAGATCAAAATAAATTATGAAGTAAACCCCATGTATATGTATATGTTTCTGTGCTATTCCAGAGTGAAAGAGTACCCATGATTTTACGATCACAGCTGTACCTGTCGTAAGCAACTCACAAAGCTGAAAGGGAAGGCGCGACTATCTTGGCATTCAGCATGTCTCATAAAGACTACTAATAACGTAACAAAATGCATACATTAATTGTTGATTCACCCATACCTTACTCGATTAACCAGAATCTTTCGACTTCAGTATCTGGGCATGAATAATAAATATTTAAATAATCCTAGTACGACACCGCTGTTTCTCGCCTGAAGCCTAGAACGGACCACTTCATCCATCCACTTTGACAAATCTCAAACCAACAACCTCAAAGTTCTTATGCTCACCTCATTCGACACAAGCATTCAACAATTACTATAAAGTCGCCTGGAAAAAGACCAGATGTCTAATTTATAATTGAACAATAACTCACCATGTCGGCACCTACTTCCCCGCATTTTAGAAGCTCAGATTCGCCATCCCCCAAATCTCCCCTTTCACCAAATATTTCTGCGCCAACAAATTCGGACTATTTTTCTTCTCGAAAGCTTAGATCTATCACAGAGCATGTCCAATATGATCATCCGCCTAACCAACGGCAAAACTCTATGTCGAGCATATCCTTTAGAGGGGGTTCGAGAGGTCCGCGGCCCTTGAAAGACGGGAAGGGTGGTAAGGGAAAGAAGACGCTGACTCGTCCTCGTCTGAGGGGCTCGAGTCCACCTCCTCCACCGTAAGTTGTGTCCCATTTCCTTATTCTTTGTGCGACGATGTTTGGTTTCAAGGGAAGGTGGGAATAGGCCGTACCATCAAATAAAAGGATACTTCATAATGTCCCACGCTTTCCTCCCCGGATCCTAGCGGCCGAAATCTGGGGGCGGGTGATCAACCCCACTTGGTTTCTATATCGCGCAAGAGAGCTCTCTATGGTTGATCTGGATCTTTATTATATTACTACCCAATATTTCTTTGTGATACTTGAATCTGACACTAATGGCTCCCAACAACAGAAAATTTAAAGGAAAAGTCTCATTTGATAGTATTGGATCGCTATCAGAAGACACAGAGAGGAATACTAGAAGTTACACTCAAAACTCTAAACATGAGGGATATCAATACAAACGTTCCTCGAGGACTTTCATGGTCGGCATAGATGAGAATTCTTATTCGGATATCGCTTTACAATGGATGCTAGAGGAGCTCGTCGACGATGGAGACCAAATTATCTGTTTAAGGGTCGTTGATAAAGATTCGAAGTTGATCACCGACAGAGCCCTGGAGATCAAGCAATATCAGCAGGATGCAAGAGAACTACTTGATGCGATACAAAAGAAGAACGATGATAATAAAGCTGTCAGTATTGTACTGGAGTATGCCATAGGGAAAGTCCATACAACTTTCCAAAAAATGGTATGTTTGGACTGTTCGATGTTCGCAGATAATTATCGCCACTTACTAACCACTCGGGTGTTCAGATCCAAATTTACGAACCTGCGATGCTCATCGTTGGAACTCGGGGGCGAAGTCTTGGGGGGTTCCAAGGTTTGATGGGAAACAGAAACTCGTTCTCAAAGTGGTGCTTGCAGTATTCGCCCATACCAGTCGTTGTCGTAAGACCCACGGATAAAAGGTTAAAGAAGAAGCAAAAACGAGATGCAGATCCTGCACGTCAAAGTTACACTCGCATTCTGCAAGAGAGCGGGGTTAGCGGACATGAAACATCAATCGTTGCAAGCAATCTCGAGAGCGCAACTGGTCCCCTTATTGAAGCGCACGCAGTAGCAGCTGCCCTTGGTTTACCAGCAGAATTTGATCCCACATTGACGCCATTCACCCTTGAAGGTAGCCGACCTCTCAAAAAGATAGATTCCGGTAAGAGCGAAGCGACAAGCTGCACCAGTGGGTTCGATTCTCGGCCTCAGAGTCCGGAGATGCTTGTGAAGAGTCCTAGATCTGCACAGCTTGATAGTCCCATTATGAGCGGGGATGATTCTAGTGACGGAGAAGGGGATGATGATGAAGGAGAATTCGAGGCAGTGCCTGGACACTTGTTACTTGGCAACGACGATATCCCTCAGCCAAACCCAGAAATTGAAAAGAAGAAAAAGCTTCATGAGATGGAGCTCGAAGAGGCAAAAGCTCTAGGCCGAAAATCTTCTACTGGCTCTACTGACAGTGTTGATCCAGATGGTAGAGGCGAGGGAAATCGACTAGCCGGCCCGGGCGAATCTTTATACGGAATATCGAATGGCGAATACCACTCCTACGAAAATGCTCTGTTATTGATACCTTCCTTTATTTAGCTGAAATTACTTTGATGACTTTTGGAATTGCTCGCACTTGAGCAAGCTTGTATAGGGAAAGTGGGAGGTACGACGGAGAGGAGGGGATGGATGAACTTTTATGAATGAAATGAATATTATGACAGTAATGACGAGGTTATCAGGTTCAATTCGGTATGGGAATGGGAATGGGTAAAGGATCGCATCCATGCTTCGGTACATGCACAATTGGGAGGTTGCACAGCTTGTCATGGTATGAAGGAAGGGCATATCGGTAGGAGTTTTTGGTCTTTTTCTCTAGTACAAGCGACACTTTTAAGTTATGAACGACATCCTTACATTATGGTTGCACCAACAATTTCAAAACAGTGAAACCGAAGCCGTGCTGTTTGTCAATGATGTTAATTTCTGTGTTGGATGGACGAAGAAACTTCGAAGTTAAGGCGCTTCATTGTGCTATTCAAGTGCGAAGTTGGGTCTGACAATTAGACATACTCTGACGCTCCTGAATAAGTTCGTAATCAGGCAGAATGTGAGCTCGCCTCTATATCTTCAAGTGTCGTCGCTACATAGGCCTGAGGTCTAGCCGTAGCAGGTTATGATCGATCGACAGTATGCCGAACGGACAACATTGAAATGATAAATGTAGAGATGCATCATATATCAACGCCTGCAAGGCGTTGAACGTCGTAGAGTCAAAGTGCTGTTTTCGATTGATGTCTACGCTTCACTTTGTTTACTAGCTTTCTCGCGCCACTATAGGGATATTTGAGGCCTATCTGAAAATTCTGGTGCATTTTTCATTGGCCTTGTCAGCTTTCTGTAAAGATGCTGAGTTCATGGACTTCGACATACGATGCTCGATCGCTTTGCAAACTCCATAAATGTTCTTTGCAGGGACTTTTTCAGAAGCTTCGACATCGTTTTTGCAAAGAGGTTCAACTTTCACGCGCATATTGCTAGAGTGACGCGTGCAATGATATGGGTAGGAGAAAATGTGTTTTATAGTCGTTGCAATTCAACCGTGAAAAATTTTCGCAATCTGGAAACCATCTGGACACTTGAATCCGCAAGCCAGTTGGGATAATCAATTCATTATATTATGTGTATTTTACCTGTACTACTAAAGAAGACTTTGATGTCTTGCTAGTCTAAATTGTTGCATACACCGGACAGAATTATGCGCTTCAATTTGCGCAAAGTGAATGCATCACTTTGGACTGACTTCTTGATATATATCTTTTGTTTCAATTAAATCCCTACCTTTCTTCCAAACAAATACCACTCTTTACTTCTCTCAAATACGACTACACCTATACTCCCTCTCTCCTGCAAAAATATCTCATCTCATCCCATCTCATCCCCCATCTTCCCGCATCCACCCACTCCCCACCCACTAGAAGTGAATATAACCTCACCCGCCCGCGTCCCCCTTCCAGCCAACCACATTCCCCAAAAGTAAAAAAAAATCCCCTCCTCCGAAAATGAAGAAGAAAAAAGACAAAAAATTAAGGACGCTCTATGCAACGAATCCTGGAGACCCCTTAATTTAAACCAGGCGAACTGATTCTTCAAGAAGACAATCACTTTATAGTCTTGTTAAGCAGAGGTGCCGTTTTACGGGCATGTGCATACTCAGCGCGTTACCACTGAGCCAGCATGGCATCTTTTGTTTCTTGGATGTGGGAGAGGGAGGGGTTGGGGATGATATGGGAAGGTGAGATGAGGTTGGGTGAATTTGGGGGGTGGTGGTGATAATGATAATGATGATGATGATTTGGTGAATGCGAAGGAGGGGTTTGAGGACGTGGGCTTGGACTTGGGTGAGGGGTTGGAATTGGGGGTCGAGGAGGTGGGTTGTGATAAGTATGTATGTCTCTTTTGCTGTTTATATGGACGGTAGATGTAAAGGATTGTCTGGAGGTATTCATGCGCCTTTCCAATTTGATCCGATTCTTTTGCAGATGTTCAAATCTTGTGAAAAGCGCATTGCATCAACCAATTTCCACTCACTCATGTAAATCATCTATGTATTTTTTAGATCTTTGTCGATTGAGTCCTTGAGGACTATAGATAATATAATCACCAATTCTATCTACGCCATTCATCCATATCCATATCCCTATTCCTATTTGGTATCTCGAAATCCCTCTTATCATTGTGAATTAAATCCAGCCTAGAAATTATCCAGTACTGGCCATTACCAACAAAAGCCATCTCTCATCATTAACCCTCAACCTCCGACTCACGATCTCCTTCCCAGACTCCTCCCAACAGAACTCATAGTCCTCATACTTTCCCTCCTCTCCTCTCCTCCAATCGCTTCCCAATCCCTACCACAACATTCTTCGGAAACGCCATCTCGGGCATCTCCCACGTTCGCTCTCCATGCCCATTCATATTCACACTGGGCATTCTACTATTTTCCTTTTGCCTCACATGCACATCATGACTCTTCGAGCTCTTATGACTTTTCGCTACACTCCCCCTCGTCTTATGTCCCCTCACACTCTCGACTTTATCCCCCACCTCCGCATCAAAATCCCACTCGCGCCAAAAATCTCTCTTTCCCCTTGTGGCCCTGCGTACCCAGCCAGGCAGCAACCCACCGCGAACTTTGTATGTCCAGTAATCTTTTAATTCGTAGTCGTGTGGCATGATTCTTCCTCCTGACATTTTCGCCAATACCCATGCCGATGTATTAAGTAATGTATACGTAACGATTCCAGTAATAAGTCCGTAAGCGATCGAATACGTAAAAGGCATAATTGCCAGCGTCAAGAAAGCCGGAATAGAATCTCCAAGGTACCGCCAATTGATCTCTGTACACGCGCGTGCCATCATCGCTCCCACGAGTATCAAAGTACAGCCTGTGGCCCAAGGAGGTATACTAGCGAATATTGGCGCGAAGAAAAGACTGATGAAGAAGCAAAACCCAGTAGTGACGGCCGTGAGTCCTGTCACACCTCCTTCTGATATACCAGCACCCGATTCGATAAATGCAGTGACAGGAGGCGAGCCCACAAAGGAACCAAGAGATATGCCAAAGGCATCGACGAGATAGGCTACGGCGCTACCTTCAAAATCCTGCGTATCTTCATCGATGGCTCCACAAAACCGAGCCATCGAATACAAGGTGCCGGTACAATCAAGGATATCGACGTAAAGGAAAGTTATGAGTGCGGATGCAAATTGTCCAGCTCCAGCTCCAGTGATATTCCAATCTTGCACAGCTAGCACTCTAGAAATGGGATGGAAGGTGACGATTTTCTTAAAGAACTCGAATGCCGCATCGCCAGAAACAGTAGGGGGAAAATAAGTAACGGAAGTATTGCGCGGCCACGAAACGATAGAGACGAGGAGAATCCCGGCTATGACTGCACCTTTGACGCGGTACATCATGAGAAACGCTGTGAACATCCCCCCACCGAATATGCCAAGCCACATTGTCGGACTTCGCATTTTGCCAGATGTACAAGTTCCATCTGGAGCAATAAGCTCGGGTATACAGCCAGTTACTTGAAGAGGTACATCGGAATTACTGCCCGTGATAGCACCAATTCCCGCACTATAAGTGAGTCCGATGAGAGCGAGGTAAAGTCCAATACCTGCACCGCTGGCTATCTTCAAGCTTCGAGGTATTGCGCGCGCAAGCCATTGTCTGAGCCCGAGTATCGAGAGGGCGACAAAGAGTAATCCTTCGATGAATACGGCTGTTAATGCGAGTCTATATGAGACAGGTCCTTGTCCATGTATTCCAACAACTTGATAAGCAAAATATGCATTTAAGCCCATTCCGGGGGCCAGCGCTATCGGCATGTTGGCGAAAACACCCATGCAAAAACTCGTCAGTGCAGATATCGCTGCCGTGCCTGTGACTAAATCCTGGTTGATTTCCTGAACACATATTTGGTAACTAGGATCCGTTGAACTGTCTAAGCAGAAGGGATCCGTAGATCCAGGAGGGTAGTCGCATACACATGTTCCTCCGGTAGCTTGAAAGATGTGAGGGGAGTTATCAAGGCATAGGTAGAAAACTTACCTGATACGATCGATGAATTTACTGAGATGATGTATGCCATAGCAAAGAACGTGGCAAGACCAGCTCTCACTTCTGTCAAGAACCTAGAGCCTTTTCTCTCGTACCTATGCCCAGAAAATTCCAGTCTAAACCGTCTTCCAACGGCGCTCTTCGCCACGGTCATATTCGTCTTCTCCACCTAAAGTCTAATAAGCATTAGAATGTCCAGAGAATTTAGGTGATGCGTACCCAACCCATGATGGAAAGATATATGGTGTATCATGCAATGAAAGACGAGGTTCCTATAAAGAAATTGACTTGTGTGATATGAAGATCTTCTATGTGGTCGATGTTAAATGCATGACCCCAGTTTATCGTAAAAACTAAGTATTTCTTGTTGATAAACCATGCACGATTGTCCAGCGAATGTCTGACTTCAATGGCAAAGCTAACAAAGGTAGAACTGATATGATTTTCTGATTTGTTTGGAATATTCCCGAGAAGCAATTAATCCGATTGCTCCAACAGTCATCAGCTATAGACATGAAACGCAAGATATAAAGGTTCAAGAGAATGACGATGTTGATCTGTGACGAATCTAATACGAAGAACGTCTAGAATACATATTATGATCGAGAGGGGTTGTGGAAAGCGGGTTGCGACTGAAAGTGCGGGATCAAACGTGGAGACCTATAGAACCAAAAACAAAGGAAGAAAAGATAAAAATACGATGAAGGCAAAGGTATAGATGGCGGAAGTAGTAACAGAACATATGGATGGCACATGCCCGGTAGTCACTGCAGCCGTGTGTAACGTGTAGCATGACAAAATCCATCAAACAAGCTGGATCCAAACTTTCAGATCAATGTGCGTACGGTGGGTGGCTCAACGTTTTTCAAAGGCTTAATTAATCGTGCCACCCACCACCCAATGCACCTTATCTAGGGTTAATTCTTCCGAGGCCTTTTATAACAAAGTTGTCCAATCATCATGGGCCGCAAGAGTGCAGCCTTTTAGCTTTTGTCGTTCCGCCCCCAGTATCTCTGTGGCACCCCGCTCCATGTATTTTTTCTCATATCGGGACAAGAACCCCACTTGGGAATCAAGTCCGCCAAATTCGGGATACACTACCGAGAGGAGCAGCTCGGCGTTGGCCACATTATCTGATACATACAAAAGTAATCTGGACAGAGTGCAGCTGGATCGCCATGATCAGACGCAAATAAGTTCGCCTAATGCCCACTAGGAACATGAATTTCTCTCTCATGTTACAAGTGATGATATTCCAAATCCTCCTAATAGCCGAAGCAGCGAAGCTAATCAGAATATTGAAAGAAACTTAACTTCGTTGGAAGGAAAAATTACCGGACGGCACAGAAAATGCACTGGATACTTTACGAGGAATGTCGGGAAATGGAATCAGCCACCGCGTGTCCAGCCAGTCAAAGGACAACTTGGAGGCTTCCGATATCAATCATCCAAGGACTGATAACGACCAGAATTATCATTCGCTGTTATCCAACTCAACAAATATTCATGGGAATGTTAAATTGCTCAAGTCTGCATTCAAAAATTCATATTTGGTTCTAGCTGGGTTGAGGGTTAGAGATACAAATTCTGAGACATCCAAACAATCATTTCTTACCGCTGTTGTGCGAGGAATCTTGCATCACTTACCTTTCTTGGATTATTGATACACATTTCCTCATCCAACCTAATTTTCAGACTCCCGTTGTCATGACGGCAACGTCCTCTGCAGTGTTTTCCCCTCGTGATACAATACCGGCCGCAGTGATCAGTGAAAGCTGCAGCTATTTCTCGGCTGAATTGTTCAGCCTCTTTTTAGCCAATAGCTTCACATTTATACGTGTCGCCAATTGGCAATCGTGATATCATTTGCTTACACGGTGAACCTCGGTTAGTCAACAAATGTTCAATTGGGGAGGACGACTGGAGTGCAATGTCAATTTGTTTCCATTTTTTCGAGTCAATTACGAGCGTTTGGTATTGTTTGCAAGTACAAAGCAGGCAAATGAAATTGTCGACGAGTTACACCTAATCAAGGTTTAGAAGATGTAAGTTATTTGACCTACTTAGCAATTCTGAACATGTAGACAATCGAAAAGGTTCGACACCGGATTTGGAGTTGGAGAAGCAGAAAAGCCCTGCGGATGCAACATTGACAAACGGATACATACTCTTTTCGGGGTAACATTTTGTAGAGAAAGAGGTAATCAGCCTACCGATTTAACTTCAAGCCTTTCCAGATTCCCTTAGACATTATACGATCTGTACTCAGGCGTGCCTTGATATACATGTATGTACTATGTTGTACAGCAGATGGGGGGTTATGTTATGCTGTGTGCATTTGGAGTTTGTATGGTGAATTATATTAGCACGTTATCTGGGGTTTGCTTGCAGAAGCGTATTTCTCTTCAATTGTGATGAGAGACAACCATAAGTCATGTCGTCGAAGTTTTCTTCACCGAGATAAAGATGAGAAGTGGCCGTTACTGCTCTTGCGTGCGGGTATTTGGAGAAGTATGTAGGATCAACAATTCTAAACCGAAATCGAACATCAGACCAGATATTATCCGAAGTGTACAAGCAATTCTTGACCAACAATAGCTTGAATCTAGAAGAGGAACAGGTGGGAAAATATCGAATGAGAAAGAATACCCTAAATTCATTCCTGTCAAACGAATTAATGACAGGATGAGGGAGATGCATTGAGCTACATCTGACGGGTTCCGAATCAGAAAGACCAGCGTCTCACACTGTAATCGGTGAAAAGTTGTGTTAAAATGAGGCTCATAATCTACCTATATGAGATGGAACAGAACCAGATGATACTAGACCAAAGTGTTCGAAGTACCCACTTCGTGTTGAATCAGGTATAGTGCTTGTTAATAGCTTAGCATGGTACGGACAGCTACATCCAGCGGAAGGAAGATAATGTCACGCAGTGAGGAGAACCGAAAATGGGTATATAAGTACACGCACATGTGATATCATATTGTCTAACATTGTTTCTGACAGTCTGAAGGGTAGTGCATGAAGGCCATTATCTTCCGGCACGAGAGAGACTTAAGAGTCGCATGACAGTTGCACCTGATAATGCTTTGGTAGAGATGCATGGTCCGAACGATGGTGGTGAAGCGACAAACTCCATTTCGAGAATAGGGGCTGGACTTGGCAAGCATTTCTATATCTCGACACAATACCATGCAGTGTGCTTCACTTGAAACGGGACTAGAATGCGCCGGAAAGGGCGCATGAACTTTTGGTCAGAAAGCACAACGACGTCCTCACTTCTCTGAACTCAGAATACTCTTGTTGTAGGTCTCAGGTCACAGTACGACTTATTAGATACACGGCTTCAGTGTCTTGCAGAATGAGTAGGATAGTCCTATGCCGAATAAAAAAAGTGTCCTGATTGGGGAAGCGAGTTTCTAACCGACTTTTGAAGGATATGTGCAGTAGGGTATGAATAGGTTCTAAGTCTTATACAGCGAAAATATAAACATGCACATTGTGGATATGTGCATCGAACCATTCCCCAATTTTTTAATACCGCCGATGCACCGTGCTCGATTCCATCAAAGTTTGAACGCCGTCTCCCTTACCTTTTCCAATTCCCGTTTTGATCTATTCTAAAAATGTGAAAAGATTTGTATGCAATATGTTCATCGCGCGTGTGGCTTCGTAAGCGTCTATGACACAAGATATGTTGATCTCACTCGCCCCTGAATGTCGCTTGTTAGTTGTCGAATCGCTATGTGGGACAGAGATTCTAGATTTACCCTGAGATATCATTTCGATATTGACATTATTTTCTCCAAGAGTGGAAAACATCTTGCCAGCAATTCCGACCATGTTCTTCATTTCCGATCCCACCAGACTGAGGATCGCCATTTCATTAAGGATGCTGACTTCACCGCACTCTTGAAGCTCTGCTTTGGTGCTCTGCATATCTTCTGCAGAGATGTACGCCGAATGAACAGCCATGGAAACATGAACCTCACTGGTGGAAATAAGATCCACAGAAATCTGTCGACTGTCCAGTATAGAAAATACCTTTGCGAAGAATCCGTGCGAAATTGATCTCTTATTCGAATGTACGTTGATAACAGAGATCTTGTCCTTGATAGTAACAGCTGTAGGGCGCTTAGGCGTTTTCTTCAGACTTACGGGACTTGAGCTTCTCGCATGGGTGTGCTGCGAAGGTTCTAATATAGGATCGGGAAGGATGATTGTGCCATTTCCCTGTGGGTTTTTAACGTTCTTGATCCGAATCTTGATCGGTGGGGTCGCTCGAATGACTTGATCCATAGTGAGATGATGGATGACCTCGGACCCGTAAAACGTTAACTCTGCCGCTTCGGATGGTGTTATAGTGGACAAAAGTCGGGCGGTTGGCACTTTCGAGGGATCTGCAGTAAATATACCATCAACTTCCTTCCATACTTGCAATTCTTCTGCCGCAACCCCCACAGCCACTAATGCCGCGCAGAGATCTGTATATCCTCTTCCGATTTCTCCATCCATCAAACCACCTGGAACGGTTCCAAAATATCCAGTGATAATTGGCACGCTATCCTGGCAAGCGTCGATTTTCTCTTTTATCGCCGCAGCCACGTCTCTGTAAAACTCTAAGTTCATCCCCTTGGGGGTCTTGAAATGGATAGCATCCGAGAGGTCTACGTATTCGGCATCAACTCCCTATAATATATATCGTAAGCACGGCGCACTTTGGAATGCTTAACATAGCCTACCCTATCTTGTAATAAAGCTGCTACAAATCTACAGCTAAGTTTCTCTCCAAAGCTGACCAGACGATCCTTTGATCGCGAATCGATTTCCAGATGCCATCGTTCAACGGCCAATCGATATTCCTGTATCTCCTTACACTCCGTTTCAATGTCCTTTGCGAGCCTCGAGGCTATAGCCTCATCTTGTATATGTGACCTCGCTGCTGCAATGTGATCGTCGCGGATAACGTCCACCAGTCTTTCGTATTTGCTAACTAGGCTCTTGTAATGTTCTGAATCCGAGTCTTTCAAAGAATTGACCGACTGAAGGACACCGTGGATTTCCAATAACCTGCCAAGGCCAGAATTAGTATGTCTTTGCATGCGCCATCCTTTTTGAATTCGAGAATCCTCACCGACTCGTTGTGCCCTCGACCTTCTTCCCAGTACTTCTCGCGGAACAGACAACTGCGATTCTATGATGTTTTAAGCTTGCTCTAGATGCCCAGTTAGTTTCAAATCGCTATGATTGGCAATGTTCCACAATCTACCCACCGAACAATGTCTTCCGCAATATTCACAGCGAATTTGCCTACACTTGTGCCACCAAATTTTTGCACTACCCAGCTTCTGTGACTGTCATTGTGGTTCAATGAATTGGATATTAACGGTGAAGCATCAGGATGCCCGTTGTACTGAACTTCAGTAGCCATTGTCCAAAACTGTCTGTGAATAATTGAAATAAATTACTGGAGGATAAATTAGTTATAAAATTGAAACGATTGACTATGCTATCTGAAGTTGAATATAAGATGAAATGTAGAAAAGTTTAGGAAACATTGAATAAGTTGAAAAGAGTCATACCAAGCACATATGTTTAATTCATTAGTAGAAACAATTATTTTCGAACCTGCATCGGCATGATATCGGAGCAAGTCAATGCGGGACCACAGTTCAATCACGTCAACGGTCAGTTCTTTCCCACTTCCTTCAATCAAGTCTTTATCATTAGCGAGCTTAGAGGGAAAATAGATCGGAGCTAATACGATAAGAATTTGATGGAGAAAAAGAAAAAGGGGGGGTAAGGGTTAATTTTGGTCCGGAGTTCGAACATTTATACCTGGGTATCAAATGATTTTAATTATATTCTGAAAATTCGCCTGAGTATTTACTGGACTGAAAATAAGACTCAGGTAGATGTTGCGTGATTTTATTCTTTTTCATAAGGAGAATACTCGAGTAGTCGTAGAGGGTACCTAGATGTGTTTCATTCATTAACACAACAAAAAGCTAATCTAGTATCGTTTGTTAGGACTCAACGTTTCATTGTTTGAAGCAGAATGAGAAACACTTCTAAATCTTTCAGCATTAGACAAGACATTAGTAAGTAGTCCGTTTCATATCTAGATGCGCCGAGTCAATGAAGATGTGAAGTTGTAGACTTTCGAAATAGTTGTGCCTCAATACTCAACATAATTGACCAAAAAGACATTCATTATTACAACGGCTTTCTTCAAGCCCAAGTAATATTAGATCATATGTAGAAACCAGTTTTCATACCCTTCCTTCCTTCCCGCCATTATTCCCCGTTATTGATAATTACAAAAGGATAACCCTAGTCTTTGCACGGAAACGCCATCAAAACCAGTACTCCAAAGATTTTTGGAGCCAAAACCGTCAATAGTCCAAACGGCGAAAAATACTCAAATCGCCGGAGTAAGATAATCAAGACCATCCCAAATATACACCAGGTATCCACCCATTCTACAGCCATTCGTTTAGTCGTTGGTCGTTAAAAAATCATCCTTTCCTGTCACATTATCCAACCCCAACCCTTTGACCATCCATTGCGCCGCAAATTTGACCCAAATTCTCACGATTTGGAGTGTTATTCAATCTCAAGACATAGCTCCCTGTGACATGGCATGAAGAGAATTAGATTCCATCGATGCGTGCCCATCATCTTGACCGAATGCATATTTTCCCATAGAAAACTCATCGTCGGGTGTCCTCATTCCAATTCCACTATCATCATGACCAGCAGCTGCATTCATAGCAGCCTCTCTTGCAAGGTCCATTGGTCGAGGACCCGAGACGCTTCGCTCACCATTTACTCCACGCCCAGCAAATTCATCACTTCCACCGCTGTATCGGCCATCTTGCTGGCTATTCCTCCGACTTGCAGCGGGGTTTCTAGGCACATTACCCATCGCACCTTGAATGGTTTCACGCTGCATGAACCCTCCTTGTTCGGCCATGAATGCAATCATCTCGTCTAGCCAACATTTAGTGACCCACCAAGCACCAAAACTCTTACCTTGAGCAATGGTAAGATCTCTCATCACAGCTGTGCCAATCTTTTGGACACACCAAACAATTTCTGCATGTGTAGCATACGGAAATTTGCCAGGAAGGGAGAGAAGCATGTTCACCCAACGATCGAGAACATTTTCTGTGGTCGGGTCGGCGTGGACGCTCGCTTGTCGTTGACGACCCATACGCGCAACCATTTCTCCAAAAGGAGTTTGTCCTTCCATCTCCCACGATACCTCGCTTGGATCAAGAAGATCACGTAATTCCGTTATCAAAAGATTGACCACATCATCCATTCCTCTCGTAGGCACACTTTCCGCAACTTTTCTTATGTTGACCATGGTTATAAAGTCCTCATACATTGTATCACGATTGTAAGGATTAGATAGCATATTTGCTGCAGCATGAGCAGTTAGATTCACCCTTAATTCTTTGTCCAAGAGGCTTGCAAAAGTTGTAGCTGGCCCCACTTTCGCCTCGATAACATGTGCCGGTTGGCCGTGGAATGAGTTTTGAATGTGTGTAACTAGACGATCGGAGATATTGCGTAAAGTGTCCAAAACGACTTTAGGCACAACTTGAAGCGTTAGAGGCGCCACGACGCGCATCATGCTTTGGTACATGATTATATCGCACTGATTAATCCACGGTGCGAGTGCTTTGTCGGCAAACAACTTTTGTACAGGCATGGTCAGTGTGCCTTGAAAGGCCGTAAAAAGATGGAAGAATGTCTTCTCTTTGCAGAAACGGACTTGCTCAACGAGGGAAGTACAATGGGAACGATAAAGCGCAGATAATGCAAGTGCTGAATCTGAATCGGTGCCAACGGGCAAAAAGGGTTGGATCTTAGGAAGCAAAATAGCCCCATATTCTTGCATAGAAGGTTCCCCTAGAGGTGCAAAATGAAGAACCTGAGGGGTCTTTGTTGTGCATTCGAGATCTGCAAGCTTCGCAACTACTGGGTGGGTGTAGAGACTATGAGGTCTAATGAATCCTCCCGATCGTTGTTTGCGTTGTCCGGGCTCTTGAGCAATTGCGGGAGACGGAAATGGGGCTCGATCAATTGGGTATTTGACGTCCGGGTATTGAATTTGCGATGTCATACTTTGACTGACTAATTAGCGATGAGTGAATACAGAGGGTAGAGATTGATATACTTGAAACTTTGAGCAAAATTTGCATCGTTAAAGTTTGTAATCGGTTGATGAGTTTGAGTCTCGTGCAGTTGTGGCTGGTCATCCCTGAGACTAAAATTCACGTAGTGATATTTAGATTCGCCGCGTACACCAAGCCGCCGAGTCTTTAGTCCTGGAAAAAGTACACGAACAAGTTTTCCAAAAGATGCCGGGTTCAATACTGTTACCTTTTCTGTACCGCATCTCGAAACGTAATTTGCGTAAACACGACCTCTTGGTACAGACCCCGTACCTTTATCACAGACTTTGTTGATCCTAAAAGGGCTTTGTTAATGTGATTCAAAACTTCATTATATGGTGCACCTACCAGAGCATAGCAAATACTTGTCTCTGTCTTTCCGATTGTGGTCCTCTTTCATTCAAGAGAAGTTCCGCAGCAATGTCTTGCAAGGAGCGGTGTTTGTTCGCGTGAAATAACTGTCTCATTTCTAACTCATTGGCAGCGCTTGATCTCGAGGCTTTCTTTGTCGCTCCAGTTGCCCCGATTATAGAATCCACCTCGTCTTGCTCATCGCTCCGACCTTCTAGAACTTGGCTATCCCCCTCTCCATAATTTTGAGCGTAGTTATCCATTGGTATAGATTGGCGTCCAGATTCAGGCCTATATTGCACCTCCGAATGATACGATTGTATGTTGTGGTTCGAGACGCCATTGAGAGAGTGCTCCATATCAAAAGATCGAGGATTTTGTAACTGCGAAGCACTATGCATAACCATATCTTCGGCTGACAATTGCGGAATGTTGTTGTGTTGTGGATTGGAGTTAGTATCATACCACTGCGCCGGATCCATATATTGCTGCTCCAGTACCGGTTGCGCAAGTCCGCTATGAACACTCGTTGTGGAAGCTCGAGATTGAGGACGTTTACGAGGTTTAGCGGACATGGAAGTATTAGATCTCGATCGTTTAACAGGATTTTTTTCTCCGGGTGGTTGTTGATCTTCAATGTTCCAAAGAAGTTAGAATATAGACACACATTGGAAGATTTCGCGCATCGTAGCGCGTCATGTATAGAGAAGAGTATCATCACTTACCCATAATTTTCATGCGAGGTTGTTGTTCGTGGAGTCGGAGAAAATGGTCGGAAAAAGTGGCTGGGGCTTTGTTTATTCTGCGATGTGTAGCCTTTCTTGACTTGATTCTGGTCTTTTATGGACCTTCTAATGCTCTGATGCCAATCCGATCCTGCGATATGGATACTTACCGATTGAAAGGAGAGCAAGTCGTTGCCGTTGTCGTCCTTTGTCGTGATATGTTTTTTGAGAGGTTGATTCCAATTGTTTACGAGGTCTTGAGGTATTCCGGTTAACGGGGAAGCAGAACCCAGGCCGAATTAGGATTAGTACGATGATTATTGATGATTGGAGGATTCATAACAAAACAAACATCATTTCTGAGATTGAGAGGGAAGAATTGATGAAAGTTCCATTTCTCACTTCGGATGGGCAAAAGTAGGTAAGGTATGGCAGCGGTACGGACACTTTTTCTGACAGCATGAATTAAATCATTTTGCATTATTTATATACGTACTGTAATCTGTTCGCATTCTTTCAAATCTTAATTTCCCTTATGTTGGCGGTGAACTCGGAGACTCGACTTTTCTTTGCTAACTCATGCAAAGTAATGAAATATGTCTTGAATGAAAGTAATAATAGGTATGCACCTTGTATTATTTGAGACTTATCAGAATCGTTACAGAAATGTATGACAGACTTTCATGGGCTATCATTTGGCTGGAGTACGTACTACAGAGACGAAGGAACGTTCGCGGATGCTTCAATGTGAGAATTTATAAAGAAATGCAGAAAGTCGATTGAGATATAAGAACAACCTCACCCACTAACCGTTTAATGGACATCATATACTTTACAGATTCTTTGTTGCGAGTTGAACATAGGTAGGCGTTATGTATGGTAGCATATGAATGTTCACGTAGACGTCTCTGAACAACTTGTACTTTAGCAGCCTCCCCCTTCCCTGATGCTTATATATATTTCCAATGCTCAGATATAGATGTTCTTTTCTCATATCCCAGTTCTCATATCCCAATCTATGTGTGATATCCATTCTTCTCCCATTCACAAATGATATACATCCCAATCTATGCTACTCATTGGAAGAAAATGATGTATGTCTTGTTTTTGATCGACAGGTGTCTAGAATAAGAGCAATCCAACAGTTGAAGATTCGGATCTATTTTGAACATTCAGATGGTTCGGAAATGTTGATTTCAAGTGGAATACGGAACTCCTTGTAAACATTAGAGGTTTCTATCCAGTCTGGCAATCCGGGCCATTGGCATCTTGCGGGTGAAGAATGCTGGCTTGTCTTGTTGCCCACGGCTAGCTATCTACTTGTCATTGTCTACCTATGATACAAGTCGACGTTCATTTGTCGCTTACATTGTTAAAGAACATAGCTGGGGAAATGAATAATTATGAAGTGCATATACATAGCTACACAATATCTATTCATTGTTTAGACCTGTATGTTTTGGATCAGGGAGCCAGGTACGATATATTTGACCATGATGAACACGGACAACTTGCAGACTAGCCACTTATAGAATTACTGAATGTTCATCCATCACGGACACCGAGCTTACCATCTCATGCACCTATTTGGATACGACGTTTCTTCTCTAAAGAAGAAGGGGTGAAGTATTGATTGTACAGTTGGCACATCGAAATCTTCCCGACCAGTGTCTACCAATGAAAGGAGACAAAATATAAAACCCTAATCGTGGGGCAAGTCTATTCCACATTCCTCCGAAGCATTCTACCAACTTCCGTACTCGAAAGACGAAGAAGATAAGAACTTTCAAGACCTTCATACGGTAACAGATTAACTCGAGTAAATCCTTTGAAGCACATGTAGACAGATCCCTTTGTAACGAGTAAAATATAATTGTTTGAATGCATTCATAAATTCCATGGATTTGAATCAATTTTATTACTCTTTGTGTTGTGTTTTGTGTTTTGTTGGTAAAGAGATGATGTTGACCCCCGCTCCTGATCGGTTGTCAGAATTACCCAAGCTTTTCCGGCCAGTTCGTCATTTCATAGTAAGGTTAGCATAGTAGCGAAGTAGCGTCAGAACAAAGGAACACTTTTAGCCCAACCATTCTCTTTCCTCAAAAGTTGTCCCACAACACAAATAACAATAAGCTCCTCGAAATTTGCACTCGCAAAAGCCGCATACATCTCAACAACCCTCAGAACCCCTTCGTAGCACATATCTTCCAAAATGTCGTTCCAAGACAAAGTTCAGGGCACCATCGCCCAAATTGATAAGGAAGTAAGTTCCCGCATACTCCGGACTTGAAAATCGACAACGAGTCGGTTCTGGCTACGACTGATGTGCTGGAAGTGCGTTGATGTATGAAAGTTTTGACTAATTCTGGCCTCAGCTCTCCAAGTACCCAACCTTGAACAACCTCGAGAAGCAAAGCAACGTTCCCAAGGTCTACGCTTTCTTGGGTGTTATTGCATTCTACTTCTTTTTCATCTTCTTCAACATCGGAGGTCAGCTTCTTACCAACCTTGCGGGATTTGTTCTTCCAGGGTACTACTCTCTGGATGCCTTGTTCAGCTCTGGAAAAGCGGACGACACTCAATGGCTCACGGTAAGAAACTCGAAATTGATATTCAATAGCCATTGCTAATATGTATATTCAGTACTGGGTTGTCTTTGCCTTCTTGACTGTGTTTGAGAGCGTGTTCACCGTTGTCTACTGGTTCCCTTTCTACTACACCTTCAAGTTCATCCTTGTTTTGTGGCTCGCACTCCCAATCACCAGGTAAGAGCTACATGGACCCAATCATGTCTCCTTAAAACGTCACTAATAATCTTTAATAGCGGTGCCCAAATCGTATTCCGCTCCTTCATTTCCCCAGTCTTCTCCAGATACTTCTCTGGAGCTTCCAAGGTTAGCGCCAGCGCAGACAAGTCCTTGTAATGGACTAACAAGCGTGTACCACTATCGTGCTGCCGAATCCATTCACCTAAGCAATATATGGGCGGAATAGTGGAAACATGCGTAAAGACACAAATGAAGATTGTAGGCGTCAGACTATAAGGGGGGGTGGTGTCTTGAGCCGTGGACGTTGAAGGTGGAGTCGCAAATGCCAACCACGATGCTGGGGAACATTGCAACGAATTTCTTATCATATATGGGATAGTTCAGGTGCTCTGTTGATATGACCTCAACGTACCAAGATTCTCGTAATTCATTTTTGGTTCAGATTGATGGGGTATATGGTAGAGGAAATTATCGTTGACTAGTTTATTCAGTTGGTATATATGATATGGCAATGAGGAGATGAGATTGATAAGATTCGTGCTTCACAATTACCTCGGAATGCTCAGAGGTAAAATCTGTATCTTGGCCCTTGAGTACTTTGTTTTGTATACCATCGTGATTGCCATAACTGCTATACTTGGACTATAATTTGTAAACTATAAAATATAGTACCACGTAGAGGGGTAGTTGGAGATGATCACCTAAAAACAAAACTCTATCATTGGCCAAGACATCAGGGTACAGTTGGTGGACCGAGAGCTTGAGACTTCACTCAAACACCAAAACTATCTCAAACAACCTTCCGTAGAACAAACCACTTTCTTTAAACACTCAAAAACACTCAATTGACTGCAGTTATGAATACCAGACGCCAGGTCTCGAATCTTCTCGAATAGACATTGATGCTTAAACTTTCGAACGACAATATTTGCGACTTTCCGATGGGCATTTTACAAATACCGCCATTGCAATGCCTCTGCCAAAGCTCAGTCCGCTGCAATCGCGGCTGGCCGCATCCCTCATGGGATCGATAATGCTACTGATATTATATCTGACCTTTTCATCTTCTCACTTTGCATACGCCGCCGATGTTGATTCGATACAACCAGAAGACCATAATCACGAAAGGTTGATGGAAATAAACATGTTGGCCCTGGATGATGAAGAGGAGGAGATAGAAATAAGGGATGAAGGATATGAAGCCGAATTTGTAGGGTTCGATCGGAGCATAGTTGGGAGGGTCGCATCGGCGACTGATCCGACTCCATTACTCAACAATCGCGCTGTAACGACAAATGTTGAACAGGGACAAACGATCCCGTTTTCATTCCTAAACTCCTCATTATGGGGAGTCCTTTCTCCACAAGCAAGCGGTTTACCATCTCCTGTTAAGATTCGTAAAAGAGATAGTGAAAGCGTTGGCAATAAAGAAGAGAGCTTACAGGCTTTGGACACTGCGCTATTTGAGGTTGATGATGGGGAGCAGATTCTGTCTGAAGATAGGAGACAAAATTCCACTTTACAGCATCGACAGTCGAGCTCCTCAAGTACTAGAACGCTGTATATCACGGTCAACACTTGCACACAGCCTGAAGCTATAGGCGCGAATGTGATGGCGCCCTCGCAGTTGGAGCTCTATATATCACAATCTGAAAAGAATACGAATCCTGGACCCGGACAGGATGCCAGTTTACAAAAAGCTTACCAGTTGGAAGGCGGCGCTGCAGTGGTCACTTTGAATGCTACTGGAGATGTCTTCATCGGTTTGACCGGTTTGAATATGACCTCGAACTACACAGGCGCATGGAACGCGGAGATTGCAGCTTCCATCGATGCGCCCTACCATTATTACCACGGCGATGAAGAGAATCTCGTCCTTGTAGATAGTGATAGCGCATCAGTCCTTCTAGTTACCAGCGATCTCACCACAGACAATGGCTCAATATACGATGAATGGGTCAATCTGGCACCACCTTTCACTATGTTCGCTAGTAAAACGATCAACTCTTCTACAGCAGGTTTGCAATATTCGTATTGTGGATTGGAGAAGCAGGCCGAAATAGCGGGAACTATTAATGGTGGTCAAAAAACCGACAAAATAAAAATGTCGATGACTACTAGAGGAGAAAATGATGCTCCCAAGCAGCAATTCTATTTTGATGGGTTGACTGCGGGCACGTCTTACTATAGTATTCTTGCAATGAATGGCAATGCGACTGCTCTAGGGCGTGAGGGAGTAGGCGGTGGTGGACAGGTCTGGAAAGCTATGACCTTTTCCACGATTTCTGGTATGTGGTTTTGAATGATGCGGATTGAGTATTGAACTAACTCCCCACGTAGCCGATAACTGTGCACTCGTGTATAATCTCTCGTTCTGCGATCAAGTGGCTTGGACCGTCCCAGCAAATCCCAATACATTTCCAAACACCACAGCTCTTGGAGAATGGTACGATAACTCAACCTACCAATCTTATAAGTACTTCAAGAAGGCCTTAGCACAGATTCCTTGCAATACTACTTCATCTGCTCAGTATTCTCTTGCTCAAAACTGCACGTCTTGTGATGCAGCGTACAAGACATGGCTTTGTTCGGTGACGATACCAAGATGTACTGATTTTTCAACCGATCTTCCGTGGCTACAAGAACGAGGTATGGGACAACCATTTCCAAACGGGACAATGCTTAGCCCGGAGCTACTTGACATAGCGAGCTCTTCACAGCCTGCGAACGGTTCTCGAAATCCAGACATCACTACAACAGTCCAACCAGGTCCTTACAAGGAAATCTTGCCCTGTGAAGATTTATGCTATGGAATTGTTCGTGCCTGTCCGGCAGTTATGGGATTCGCATGCCCTCTCCCAGGTGATACGGGCTTTGATACAAGTTATGGTATACATAGAACGGCAAATCAGAGCGGGCAAGTTACGTGCAACTATCCCGGTGCTGTGCATGATCGGTCGATTGGCGGTATTAATTCCATACCACACACAATGGTATTTGGAGCAGCGGTGTTGAGTACGATGTTCATATTGAGCGGCATTTGAGGAATTTTCAAACCAGGATAAGGTAGCATAGGGGGCGTAAAGGAAACGGGATCTGATTTAAATGGGACTTTTGACTTTTGACTTTTTGAAATACCTCTAGATGAGGAGAGTCGAATGACATTCGAGGTTGTTCGACGACGGACCTTGTATGATGTTGTATTTTTTTTATATCACCATGAATTGTAATACATAGACTTGAGCGATATGCCTGAAACGCTATATGAAGTGTCTGATGATGTTGATGTTGAGCCATTCTATTCGCGCCAGGTGATTCTGATTACAACATATATATCAGTCGCCCGGTAGCCAATTCTCCTAACGGCAATCCAGCAATATCAGGTTATGAATGTCTAGAAGCAGTTACGCATTTGAAAAATCATTCAATGTTCCTACCACATTCAATCACTATCTCACTCACATGATTGTATATTTGAGATATTCCAATCGGGTTGCCGATTTTTATCGTGATGGTATGAGGGAGTTGGGCGGGGAGTCAGGAAGTGGCTCGTGGTGTCTGAATCGCTGATTGATTGTATGTACCTATGTTCTATGATTTATTAATGTTAGGTTATTAGATTATTGCATGAAAGTGAAAGTGAAAGTGAAAGTAGATCAGATATGCGAATATCTAGATAGGTAGGCAAGGTAGGTAGGTATCTACTCGTAGTAGGTAGGTAGGCAAGGTAGGCAAGGTATCTTCATCGGCGAAGAATATCCGAGTCGAGGAGGTGTGTTCTGATGGATGTGTATGCTACTCACTTGCTCACTCGCTTGCTTCTTACCTCGTTCCTAGGGAGGCAGGTGTGTATATTTTACTTAGTATGATGTACCTCTCTTGTGAATATTGATGTTCATCTATAGTCTATAGTCTATAATATATAATCTACAATCTATAATCTATAATTTACCCTCGGTCCGTCCTGGGATCACCATCGGTCGGATACATACATACGTAAGTCCCACATACTTCTAGAAGGAAAAAATTTCTTCTATGAGATTTTTTTTTTCTTTTCTTTTTTTCGTTTTGGTGTGTTGGATTTTTTTTCGGAGATGGATGGATGGGGAGTGTGGATTTTTGGTTGCGTTGGGTTGGGGATCGTGAAGTTGTATGTTGTGTGAAGTACTAGGGAGGTAATATAGATCGGAGATAATTAGGTAGGTGGGTGGTAGGTGGGTGGTAGGTGGTAGGAGGTTGAGGTTGTTGGATCTGATCTGGGGTGGGATCTATCGAGTAAAGAAGGTATAAGGCATAATGATGATATCGGCGTTATTTAATTCTCGTTTTCGTTTTCTTTTTTTTCTCATGGGAAATGGGAAAGAGCTTGGGAGAGGGGATGGGGATGGGAATGATGATGGGATTTGATTTTGATATGGATATTGATATTGATATTGATATTGATAGGGATGTGAGGCCCGGGGTGCCCGGAGGTTTGGGGCCATGCGTGCGAGTTCTGCGAAATCGAAGTTGGGAGTTGGGATTTGGGATTTGGGGGTTGCGTGTGCTGGGCTATGGTGGTTTATGGGGTGGTGATGCATGATGTTATGATATGATATGGATATGAATATGAGATGAGATGGGATGGATATATTAGGTAGAGGGTAGGTAGGTACTTGGGTACGAACGAGGTGGATGCAGAAGAGGTACCGGTAGGCATTGAGAGGGGTCGTATTGTTCACGTACCTACCTAGGCGAGCTAGGGATGAAGACAGGGATGAAATGAAAGATCGTAGAGTAAGTAGACTGAAAAGTAGACTTCCAGATTATCGATTTGCATGTGAGGAGAAGGTAGATAGAATGGGAATTGAAGCCAAAAAAAAAAATTATGAGGCTAAACGTTTTGGGGGATAGTGATGAATGGGAAGTGGTGAGAGGGAATTTTGAAACGTCACGTCACGATGTGTTGTACTCAGTGTAATTTTAAAATTGCATGAGTTGGGTTTGGTGCGGGTTTGGTGGCTGATTACCTGGGTGAGAATTGGGGATCGGTTCCTGGTCGGTTTGGATTGGGAGGAGGGAGGGCTGAAGCTTTTTTGTTCGCTGATAAGTTAGATCAACTTAGATGGATGTTGTAAGTTTGATTGGGATGGGGGTATGGATCTGGGTGATTTGGTGGGATTTGGTTGGTTATGTTTGGTGGGAGGGATTATCGACAGGATGGATAGTCTGATGGATCATGCATCATCATTTGGACTTGGGAGAGAAGATAATCAGCGTCGCCGCCGTGGGGTGCAGATTGTTTCTTGGAAGGTTACTCGTAGATTGGGTTGGTGTGGTAGGGTAGGGTAGGGTATGGTAACTTGTAAGGTATGGGGTTTATGGATTATAAGATGCTGAGCTGATGTTGAGGTTGATGTGGTGGAAGGAGGGAAGTTTGCGATGTTGACCTGCATACAAAGGAATACATCTTCATCTTCATCTTCATCTTCATCTTCAACATTGAACCTGGGAGAAGTGGAATCACGAATCTACTTACCTCCGTACTGAAGTATATTTAATTTCATTAAGGCTGCCTATGCGTAGAAATGAAGAGATTCATGAGATGAACCAAAGATGCATGAAATACCTTTAGACATTACCTAGCTAGTACGAGTAGATGTATGTTAGCAGATGTGAGTAGATATTAGTAGGTCCTACCTAGGTATTTACTCCGCACTATGATCTATATCATAAGTTATTATTAGGGAATTAGATTGACACACTCGTTCGCATGTATTTAGTATTTACCAGTATCTACTAAGGAATTAAGTATCTAAAAGACTAAAGAGACTAATAAAAGTATCAATATCAGTTCAAGGTTTTCGTTCCGTTCCTTTAAACCCTACTTTCCTCACCTAGGTACACGGTACACCAGGTATTTTACAGTCTTTACTATTTATTATTTACCTAGTCAAAGTATAAAAACACGCTAAATCGCGTTATTAGAGAATGTAAACAATAACTCTTTTCGGTCGCGAATCACCTCGATTCTTCTATCGTTTTTCCCCTCCCCCTCTTCATTACTAGGTATCATCTTCCCCTCCTCTTTGACCGCATCCGCATCCGCATCAGATTCAGATTCACATCATCACATCATCATCTTCATAACTTTAAGGGATCTTCATTCAACCTTGCGACCAACAACGACCTTCCTTACTTGAGTTACCGTGTTAATCAATTCTTCCGATATTCCACAAAAAAAACCTTCGTAGAGGTAGAATTGACTCCCAAATTCCACTTTTGATCAATTTTAATCCAATCCAACCAGTTCGAAAAATTCTAAAAAATCTCAAAAATCTCAAAAATCTACGACTGGATAAAAGAGATTCAGAAAATCATTGCTATCCATCCGTGGCGCCAACACCCCAGAGATTCAAAACGCCCTGGCCAGTTGGCCACATCTGAACTACCACTACCACCACTACCACCACTACCACCACTACCACCACTTTTGAAGACGTGCAGGAGAGAGAGCGAGACCATCTCTCATCCAATCGATAATCGATCCCATATCAGACCTATTACAGTAACACCTCGCAGTACCACTCAGAAGCCAGAGATCAATTCCTACACCTTGACACTCCCGTACAATCAATTCGACACCCTTCGATATACTGTACTATCCTCATCATATCATCGGGAGAACGTACAACAACCAAACATTATCTCTCGCGCATCTTCCCCACAGGGTTACATCCAATGCATCCAGAAAGAGAAAGTTTGTTATTCTGTGAATATCATCGCTAGCTAGCTCCATCCATTCATCTTGATCTTTCTTTTACTTTGCATATTGTCCTACGATTGGAGTGAATCTTATTACCCCTACCTACCCTACTTCCATACATGTTGTCCCTACGGTCCCTACTCGAGTAACTCTATCAGTTGTTTACTTTTGTAGGTGAAATTATCAAACCAGATTATCAGCCAGATTCAATCTCTCCAGACTTTTGATTCATCGCAAAAAGAAATAAAAGAGAGCTCTCAACGAATGAGTCTCAACCTTATCGAGCTACCTAGGTCCTCCAGCTATCTACGATCTACTATCTATCTACTATCGAGCTCGTCCTTTCCTCTTTGGCTTCTATCAACTTATCAAGCAATTCTTCTACCGATAGAAAGAAGGATCACACGGTCATACCACACAGACCTTTTCCGGTCTACCTACTACGAGACTACCTAGGTACCCATACCATAGAAGCATAGCTCAAGCCGGTCTTTCTTAACAAGGGCATAGCATACTTTCGGGCCACTTCCTTGCTTCCACATCATAACCTTCTATTTCTCGTGCTCGGCATATCGCCGTCTTACAAGTTGCATTTCCCATTCTTTTTTACTCTCCCCACTCAGCCCTTCGTACATCTCAATTCATTTCTTTGATCACTTTACTTTTTCTTCCCGCAACTTTGTGCTTGGTTCCGTTCTCTTCCTTCTATTCGCTGTTCCACCAATCTATCCCCACACAGAGCAACGACATCTCAACACATCTGCATCTGCATCTGCATCTCGTCTCGTCTCGTCTCGTCTCATCTTCAACTTCGACTTCAACTCCAACTTAACCACACCATCTTTCAATATTAATCAAGTGCTTCCGTCGCCATTTTCGATTCTACCCCTTCACCCGCCGTATACGGGACCGCTATCTTTTTCGCAATCAATTTGATTTTACTGGTAGCGATCCAGACCACCTTCCCTTGCGTCCTCGCTTTTCCAAACTTGGAATCCACCGTAATCTCGCTCCACAATCCGATCCGTCGTCGATCCTGGACAGCACACACTGAGCACCCACTCCCGGTATGCATGCCTTTAGATAGTCCACGTTATCCCATGGTGCCTTTTTTTTCCCTCCTAGAATGACATATTTTTCATAGGGCTAACTAACATCAAATGCTCCAGCTTTTAACACATATCGATACCTATTCAGGAATACCACATCATCATCAGATCACGCGTTGACTGAAAGAGATCATATCGACTTATCAGCGCGTCGTCGACTATTCACAATGTCTTCGTCGCGTTACACGCAGCAGCCGCTGCAAATATACCAAGATCCCGTCACATCCTATGACAGCGCGCCCATGCCGTCGACGAAAAATTCTTCAAATCAAAAAAAGTCGTCGCCCTTGAGAACGATCAAGAACGGTTCGAAGCGGAACGTCATCTTTAACCCACCTCGGAATGGACCTAGCAAACACTCACCGCTCAAATCGCATAGCCCAATGTCGAGTTCGCCCTCAAGAGCGCCGTTCGGCAATAAATTAAACATGGTGCCGATGCCACCACCTGCGGGATCACGACACAATACCGACTCGATTGCGAAAAAACAAACTTTTCAAACCAAGCACAAGAGCGCTCCGCAAAAAGCACTATTTACCACATTCATGAACACTCAACCTCAAGGAAAAGAAAATTGTCCACATCCCATGTATTCACCAAAGTCACAACCTCATTTTCGCGACAATTTCTCGAGTAGCAACTTCTCCTTGGAAGGACTGTATGGTCAAAAACCATCACTAAAGCGTTCGTTGATGGAAGCTGCACCTATTCAGGAAGCGAAGGTTCAGGGCAAATCAAAAGCAGAGGAAGGAAATGACGCATCAGGACCTCGAGAACTTCCAGAACCAGATTCTTTCCCGGCTATCCACGATGACGGCTTCAAACCTTCGCATAGTTATGCTCAGTTGATTGGCATGTCGATTTTGAGAGCTCCGAAACGACGCCTGACTCTAGCGCAAATTTACAAGTGGATATCCGATAACTACTCCTTTTATAATGCAGCGGACGCTGGCTGGCAAAATAGCATTCGTCACAATCTTAGTCTCAATAAGGCTTTCGTAAAACAAGAGCGGCCAAAGGATGATCCAGGAAAGGGCAATTATTGGGCGATTCAAGTCGGAATGGAATATCAATTTATCAAGGAGAAGACTACACGAAAACCTGCAGGTCCAAACGAGAATCTCCCGGTATTGAATACAGCACTCACACCTGTCGATGCACCAGAGCTTACGCCACCCACGCCAATGTTTAAGGATTTACCGTCGTCTAGTCAGGATGTATCATTACCAAAGTCGACGTATAAACTACCGGAAAAAGTAATTCCTTCTATCCCAGAGTTATCTTCAGACGCTACCATTCCTGCATCGGAATTTAATCAAGATGCGGAAGAGGACAACGACGACGACGACGACGATGCCCCTCCATCCTCTCCACACATTCAATCATCTCCGCCAACACGAATGATGCATTCTTCTCCTCCTGTAGCTCGCCATGCACCTAGACGGAATCATACGCCACCTCCTGTTCCACGCTTTCCATCTTCATCACAGACTAGATCACATAAACGAAAGTTTGCGTCCATGGATGATAGTGGGTACTTTTCATCACTTGAATCTTCAGCAATGAGACCAAATGGCGTCAGTCGATTGCTAACATCTGAAGCTGATCGGCCGAGGATTAAGCGCGGCCGAGCTGAGGAGGAAATAGCTCGTCTTCGTGGTTCTTCGTACGATAGCCCTAGCAAAGGCAGGTCATTAAGTGGATTCGTTCCACCATCCTCCTCTCCGCTGCGCCGAGCTCACCCACATGACAACTATCAAATGTTGCCTCCTCTGACTCCTGCTGTCAAGTTGAAGGCTCCTATGAAGCCACCGCCATCGATATCTCCAAACACAAATCTCCGTATGCATCGTGACAAAGTTAGGGAACTCGTTGGCTCTCCAATCCGTGGTTTAACTGTTCTCGAGGATAGTGCATGGAGTCCGGCTTTCAATCTTGACCATAACTCCTACATGTTTGCCGATTACGTCCCGGACTTTGATATCTTCCAAGATTCCACAGCATCCTTCGCTGGATCAAGTAATGGATCACCGGGAAAGCGTTCAGTTAGGAGACCTCGCATGGATCGATCGAGATCTGCAAACATTTTGTCCGATGTGACTAATTCTAACTTGAACAAGAGTGTCACCTCCACACCGGTGCTCAAACTTACACCTGCGTTAAGTGGACCTTCAACGTTTCTTTCCCCAACCAAAGGAGGCTTAAACTTCATGGATTCTCCATGCAAGCCAAACAATAAGTCGCCTCTAAAGTTTGATTCACCAACCTTGAATCTCTGTAATTTTGATCTTCCTCACGACGATTTCTTCAACTCTGAGTTCCTTACTGAAGATCTATCGGATTATGCTGGATTTGATATCACACAACGCTTTCCAAAGATTGGTTCAGGAACTCAACAGCAACAATCTAGGAATACATCCAAGAACCAACCACCCCGACCATCGATGGGTCGAAGTTCTACCACACGCTTTTAGGCTGGATGCGTAAACAATAGTGTATTGGATACACACATAATGACTTAATGAACTTTACGACATTATGAAATTTGGGCTGTCAACTTCTGTTCTTCTTTGTTGAAGGAGGTGGAAGAGGTTGAGATTTTGCTCAGGGGGTTCAATAGGATATTGATAGAGTCTGGAAAAGCCTCGCGACCTCTTGTTGATGATAATGATGTTTGGGTACATGTTTATTTTGATTTAGGGTCTCTATTTCACATTTTTTTTGTTTTTGTTTTACTTTGCGTTTGTCTGCGTTTTTGCATTGCTATTTAAGGAATCGGGCAATAAGTGTGGTTGGACTCTTTCTGCGTCTGCGTTTGGAGTAGCTACTTAGCAATTAAGGGTGGGCGGTATTTTCCAGTCTTGATTTGTTTTATCTGTCATTTCATCTGGACTTATACCTGGATCTGGATTTCTCATATTGCATGGCGCTGTAGGGAGGGTATTTCACTCTGATTTCTACGATAGGGTTTGCATACGGATATGGATATGGATGGACGGATATTTGGGAAGGCAGGCAGGGCAAAGGGATGGATGGATGAATATGGATGAGGCCATAGATGGAGGAGTTACGTGAATTCTTGGGGTGGTGAGAGATCAGTGATGATTAGGTCTACTCGTTGTTAGACGAGAATCATTCACTACAGTGAGTGATCTGAAGGATTCGCGACGGCAATTCTTAGTACATATGAATATGTTTAAGTCCATTTATGAATATCTCTATTTGTGTCCGTGATTGCTTCTAGTGAATGAGTAACTGAGTCGATAAGTAAAGGGGAGTAAATTGTATCAGTATCGGTCCATTTTAGGGGAATGAAGGTTCCCGAGCCCCCTTTTTCCATTTTTGTTTCCTTTCTAAGACTCCAAAAGTTTTCAGCTCTACCTTGGTAGAGTATTCACTACGCAGTTTCGTAAACAATAAAACTCTTTTTGCATTATATAGATATCTATTTTCAAGGTTTTATTTGAATAATTCTTAAAGGCCTCGATAGTACTAGATACTGTTAATGACTAACTAATTGTAGTTGTAATAGACTCTTAAGTAGAAGTGATATTATCTAGATAATAATACTTTATGTAGAAGTATCTTTGTAAGTTTTGTAAGAATGTTTTATAGGAATGGGTATTAGATTATAACGGCGAAGATCAAATTGTACGAAGTAGCTGGGGTTTCATTCACATACCCAAATCGGTTAGTATCATATTGGAACATACAGTATTAGAAATACCTGCTTACCCATCAAGGCCCCAGGAAAATAACCAATAGATATATCACCGTCCCCGCCTTCTTCTTAGTTGCTGGGATTTCTGTTGTGGAATTACTTTGGTCATCACAGCTGACTACCAAAACACTACACCACAAATCCCTCGATGTCTCCAACTACACCAAATCGTCTTCCTGATAAATCGGGAGTGCCCCGCGGTTTTATTCTCTCAACTGGCAAAGTTCGAAGGCTCAAGGTGCTAAACCATTAATTCGTCGACCCATAACGGCATGTGAAGCATGTCGTGCAGCAAAGGTCAAATGTAATGCAAGAAGTGACTGTCAACGATGCAGAAATAGGGGGGATTAAATGCGTATACGCAAGCGCCAACGGTTCCTCGGAGTCCAGGTTACAATCTAGGTTACAGCGTCGGAGCGGAAGCCCAGAAAGCTTAGAACTAGAACAGCCCTTGGGCAGTAATGATATTTCGCAAGAGAGATCTATAGAAAGCTCTATGGATCTTGAAAGTGATACTACCGATATGTCGATACCGAATAATGCAAGTCTGAACCTTGAGGATCTGGCCCCGTGGTCACAAGAGATGGGGGAGCAATTCCCTTGGCTCACCACAGATTCAAGTTTCGATGTAAGTTGCCCCCCCAGACTGAGTGAAATTGCTATGTTGAAAAGTTGCTAATGAATATTTTCCCATCAGAACACGGCTCTCCACTCAACAAATCTAGATGCAGCAGACTGGAACCTCACTCAATTGTCACCAACGTATCCGTCTTATCAATACACAACTCCAACTACCTCGGAGTCATACAACGGTGCTCTCGAAATGTCAAGTGGAAAATCAACCACCAAGAGTTCCTCAAATCACGCGCCCTCACACAAAGAAAAGGCGCCTATTACTTGTCAGTGTCGGTCACGACTAACGCTTTTTATCCCCAAAATTACCAGCGTGATGGAAGAATCACCAACCCCAAGACTAGACAATGTTTTCAAAGCGACGAGAGAAGTGATTCAAAGTTGCCAAAACATGATTGATTGCACAAGTTGTCAACTCAGTTGTTCGGATCTCATGTGTTTACTAGTGGTCTTTCAGCATACAGACGCATGCTTTACACATATTTCAAAAGTTGATCTGACTGATGCTACCACGGTCAGTATCGGCGGTTACGAAGTTTCTATCACCAACGATATTAGACCAAGACAAATGCTTGACATGGATCTGGGGAGACAGGCAAATATGTTGCTTGACTCAATTACCGCTGTTGAGGAGACCCTGGCTGCTTCACCATTTGCTGCAAATCGTTTAAACGAGGTGAATAGCGAGTTTTTAAAAAATGTTAAGGATGCTTTCAGGGCAAATTTACAAGCAGTTACAGATTCGGTCAATAAGGTGACCTAAAACCTAGATAAGGGTCGCAAGATGATGGAATTTGTCAATAGTTTGAACATCCTACTAGAAAATATGTCCGTAACCCTCCCGATCATTTCGCTTTTTTTTGCGTCAAAAGGTCCGCAGATTGAATGCCATTCATGGATGTGCAGTTATATTATTAAATTGGTACATAAGAAAAGAAACTGTTTTAAAGGAAGATAGAACAGAAGAGAGAGATTGCAACCTGGCCCCGGTTCAAAAATAATGTTACCATCCAAGGTGGACAGCAGACCAGTTATACAACTCGAAATAGTTTAAATAAGAGAATGCACCCTTAAAAAGCACTATCTGAAGGTAAAGTCTCCCCAATTTAACCCGCCACAACAGCAGCATCAACGAACAACTTCTCTCTTCTCATGAACAGGCTCAAAACCGCGATCAATGAGCCAGCAGCTATGACTAGAATGTATGTTTTACCAATAGCCTTGACAATAGCCTCTAAGACTGCAGTTTTCTGATCTGGCCTTAGAGTCTTTATGAAATCTGTTCCTGATCCCTGCACTGCAGCCTGGATTTCCGCCCGTGGGACATTTGGAAGGATATCTAAAATACGGCTCTGGCTCGTATTGAGGAAAGCGGAATTCGCGATTGCAAGTGTAATGGTTATCCCTGCGAATTGCGCGAGAGTCATCAAGCCAACAGCTGCACCAATGAGCGCAGGTTCAACAACTGCCTGAGCGACAGAAAATGAAGCTTGAAGCCACATTCCAACCCCAGCTCCGATGATGACCGTATATCCGTAAATGCGACTTGAAGAGGTGTCGAGGTCAACGGTGTACATGCAGGCAGATCCAGCTGTGGCCAAAAGGCCACCAAAAAGGTACCATGGCATGTAGTAGCCCCATTTGGCCATGAGAGCACCATTGGCAAATACCATGACAACCATAACAATAATGAAAGGCAATAAACGGATACCAGCATCCAGAGGTCCATCGTCGCGGGTATACTGAAAGAAGATCGGGACGAAGTAAATCGGAACGAATACTGAGGACCCTGAAGCAGCGGTGACGGCAAACAAGATCATGATGGTACGAGAACTGACAAATTCAACAGGTATTATTCGACGTGCCGAGGTGGTGAACAAAACTAGACTTTGTTGAATGCTGAGAAGAATGAAGCATACTCCAGATCCCACAAAGAGACCGATCACTTGCCCTGAGTTCCATGGATAGATATTTCCGCCCCAATTGATTGCCATTACAAACATAGTGAAAGCTCCAGCTTGAAGAATTATTCCGACGTAATCCATTTCGACTGCACGCTCCTTGAATGGAACTCCTGGACGGGCATCTTTACTAATCAAAAGGTTAGCATCCATCATCATTGAAGGAAAGTTGTTTCAAGAGAATTTTCGAGGAAGATTATGCCATCGACAATTACGAAGGGGGACGATTTGCAGCTCTCCTGTCTGTCTTGAGGAAAATTGCTGACCTGGGAATCATGAAGATATACACCGGCGCAAAGACTCCACCAATGAGAAGATTGATATAAAATGCCCATCTCCACCCAACCGAAGATTGGCTGAAAGCACCTCCAATAACAGGGCCGAGCACAATACCAATTCCCCAAGTGAGTCCAGTTGCTGAGATATATAAAGGACGTTCTGCAATAGTCGTTGTGAAGGCAATCAGAGTCATACATCCGGCATACAATCCTGCGCCCCCGATACCACACAAAGCACGACCCACAATCACAGCATTCATCGATGGAGCAGCAGCACAAACCGCTGATCCCAACTCAAAAACCAAGACGCTGAATACGTAGAACCATTTCGCGTTAAATTGCGTGTAAATTTCCCCCCAAACTAAGTTCGTCGCGGTGGCGCCTAGGAGGAAGGAGACGCTTAACCAGGGGAGTTTCTGCACTTCCCCAAAGCGGGTGACGATAACGGGTTGCAGATCTGCAACGATGGTGTTGTCAAGAGCGTAGAGAAAGATGGAGGATGATATCGCACTTATTACCAAGACCCATCTCAACCCCGTGATTTCTCGAGATGCTAGTGCTTCTTGCTCATGTGTATCATGGAGCGTTTCGCTATCTGGGAGAGTGTTACCAGGAATTGGCTTGTCCTCAGTGAGGAAGCCACGGTTGTTTGGCTCTGCCATTTGTGACCAGGTCTACCGAGGATAATATCAGCCAGAGCAATCTAGTCTTCTCCCCACGAGAATCTGACCTGTTCTGTAGAATTTGATGCTCTTCAACACAGCAGGAGAGAACTGAGATGTAGGATACAATTTAGAGGAAGATACAGACAGCTTGGAGTCGACGAGAACTTAAGTTAAGAAAAATACAAATAAATGTAAATCACAGAAAAACGCTAGTAAACAAGAAAAACACAACATCATCGGTAATACATTGATTTGTAAGACGCAATGCAATTTCTGAAAATCCATCTCCAGAAGTAGAAATCTGCGAAAGATTCATTGAGGGTAGTAGACACTCCCAGCCCATCAGGGCGTTGAGAGACGGAATATTCATTTCCTCTTTGGGTAATGCTGATATATACGCACGGTGGAAGCAGGTATGATCATGATTACCCCGTAAAGAAAAGCTTTCCCCGGGAAATTTTATTTAGACGTTCGAAAGTGCTAATTGTGACTCTCTCTGATTTGGGAAATCCTGACGTGCGGTGGCTTCGGTATGGAGGGGAGACTGCCGATGGGCACAACCTGCTGTCACATATCTGCAACGTGCACGCCGAGAAAGACACTTCTCTACACGTGCGATGGATGGGGAACATATCCATACTAACCATATCCAATCTGTTGCATTTAAGAAGTGAGGAGGTAGGGCATTCTCGACCGCAAAGCGCGGATGTTTTGTGAGAATGAGGATTGCAATCGGATGGTGCGGCATGGAAGTATACAGGAAGATTTTTCGACATGTATTTGAGAGATCTCCGTTTGAGGATTTGGGAAAGGGAATTTTGATATGCATTTTTCTAGAATGCTGAAGTATATCATACATTCCGAAGAATGGAATATGAAAACCATCTCAGAGAACGTCGGGCGATTGCTACTCACTACCCACTACTCACTATTCCAAAAAAGAAAATCAAAATGTTCAAAGTGAGCATGAGAGACACAGATAGACATAGCCGAACATTCCACATTCAGTCCATCAACAAATCAGCAGAATACCATTCTCTATTCAGCGAGACAGAATCACCATTCTCACAAGCCTTAATGAAAATGAAAGATTCTTCACTCGAAACCTCGCAATCCATCCATCCATTAGCGAATATAACAACGCGATCAAGATTCTTTCCAGCACGGATCGAATCACCTTACCCTCTCCAATCCATCCATCCCTTTCCACATCCTGAAAACGAAGCGAGGCGTACGAGAAGCCATCACCCAGCTCCAATCCTACAATAACGCAAGAATCGCGAGTGCGATGAAGCAAAGAGCGGAATGTACGAGAGAATGAACTGTCAATCACTTGATTCCTCCGAGTCAACGATATTAATCCATAAACTAGATCGCGAGACTGAAGAACATGATAGCAAGGTCATCCAAGATAGGCTCTTCAATGAATTTCCCCCTACTCGGGATTCTTCTTCTGCTGGTGCGAATTGTTTTTATAGTGATAATTCCATGTAGCATGATTTCATGTATTGATACATTGATACATTGATATCTCAAATGTCAAAAATATAACTGATATAGTTTCAAATAGTATTTTTGATATTCGAGTCTTATTTTTTATATATTTTTTTTTACTATATTGATATTTCAGTTTCAGTTTAATTTAATTTAAAATTTTGAAATTTTAGTTTTACTTTAAAAAATCTATAAAAAAATGAAAAAGTTGAAAAAGTTGAAAAAGTTGGAGAACTTCACTCGAAAAGCGAAAATTTATTTTCAATTTTCAGGACTAAAATATCATTATTTATTAGAACTAGAATATTAATTAATCATTCGGAAATAAAATAATCTAAACTAGCATATGCTCACCCCCACTACCACTTTTGACATTTGGGGTATCATTATATGGAATAGTGCTATATGGGGTTATGATCATAGATTATATGGTTGTGTGATAGATTGGTTTGGTTACATGGTAAGATTTTGTGGTAGTTTGTTAGGATACGAGAGTGATTGTTTGATATAAATTCAGACAATGATATAAATCCAGAAAACCATATCGTCTCAAAAGAAGACGAAGACAAAATCGGCTTCCCTATCTAGATAAATCTGTACTCCAACTCCCACTCCCACTCCCACTCCTACTCCCAAGGGCCTAAAATAATGCGAGTGCTAGCTCGCACAATATATATATGGATCTAACTCAGACCATTGAAAGCTTCTGAATATCTCAAACGTTCGAATTATCAAACACAAGGGGTAAGTGAGTAAGAGCGACTATATGATTTTCTCGTTATCTTCGATATACAAATGATTATGCTCATCGTGTGATTGTCTATCTACTTTAATAATCTAATGTATTTACCCCTGCCAAGACTCGGTTGATAGAGTCACTTTATCGTACTCGAGTATTAGCAGAAGAGTTTGATAGAATGGATAAAATCAGGGTATGTAATAGTCCGACCTGCAATCTAATCATGTAGGATTTAGAAAGTCTGGAAGAAATTAGAAGTTTGAAGATAGTTCAATGTTTCATGCAGATTCAACATTTCAACCGACTTGAATATTCTATTTGATTGGGGGATCTGACAATCCTCATTATTGAATTGTAGTTGGGACTATTGGGTAACCTGGAAATGATTCAACGATACTAGCCGTAGAGACCCCTTATAACTTCGTTACTTTTGACAACCCCTATGACGCAGAGAATGTTCTCAATTAGTCAAAGAAGAAGAAATGGGGCATCATCATCTTCAATGCCGCGATGACGTTTGTAGCGTGAGTACATTTGCAGATCCACACTTGAGTTTTAAAAGCTGCTATGCATTAGGTCATTTTCTAGCCTGTAATTTTGACACCTTCAGTACCTGTAATCCTCTCAGATTATCACTCCCTCGAGGGCGAGATCACTGCTCTTAGTCTCAGTTGGGGAACTTGGCGAAGATCTAGCTCTTCTGTTGATCACCCCTCTTTTCGAAACATATTGCTTGGCTTCGGTCATCTGAATCATTTTTTAAAAAAAATTGTAGCTGCAGATTCTATTTTCATTTTCGGAGAACAGATTATGCAAGTTTGATGTAACAGACTGTTTGAGACTGTACCGATATGTATTGCTTTGGATGTTTGGTTAGACAAACCACATTAGATGGAGGGATTATGACTGGTCTAATTGGGAAGGCGAGGTGAAGTGATTGGGAGCCATTCTTCTAGAGGGTCTTATATTTGTATACTATGCCAAACTATATGATTATATAGCAATATATGAAGCGTTAGAAGAAGGGAGGACCACAAGAGATTTCCCCTCTGCAACTACACTCTCACACACATGGGTTCTAAACCAATTCATGAATTGCACGTAGGAAATTTAGACCAGATCTGATTATATGACCATTTTTCACATTGGTATCAGACAATGAACTTTGTGACGCTGACGCCGAGGGAAAGCGGTCTTGGGGGCGAATAGGGGGAGAATCAAAGAGCGAAACATTGACAGAAAGAGAAAGAATCAAGAAGAGAGCAACCCAGATAATCCAATTAAACGAAGCAGGCTCTAGAGCTTAATGTGCAGCAGCACAACCCAGGAGTAGACAAGTAACCAGTCATCAGTCATCAAAAATTACCCATCAACTAAATAAATCCAGAAGGTGAAAACTATTGATCATATCACCGCAGTCCAGACTACTGGATTTCTTACAGCTATGCATATGGTAGTCATCAATGAATATCTTTTCGCCCATCTCAATTGAGGTGCCCCAGCTACTCCGATCGCAACTCCAACACTCCTATCACCTGATAGAAGCATTAAGCACTTCAGGTATTTCGAATGGATATCTTGCTGCTCTCGTCATATTTTATCATGTGAATTGCGATCCTCAGTGACATCATGTGATCCATATTGCGTTGGTAAGGCGTGGGGTGGGTGTCTCTTCCAATGTTTGAAGGCTGCTTCTGTCCGTTTTGTACAACCCTAGAACAGGAATCGAAGAAAGGATTTGTGGAGGTTGTGGTCAGATCTTGTGCTTTAGCTTAATTCTGTGTTGAGTTCGATGGTAGGTCTTGGCGAGTATCCTTGTAATCTCTAGATATTTGACTTTTTATATTGGATGCTTTATTAAGAGGAGATATATTTCCATATTCAATCTCGTATAGAAGTTGCTTTGGCTTCCCCTTCTAAACTTTGTGCTGCTTTTTGCGCAGATCTCGTAGAGTAAGTGAATTACTTCCTCTGGCCAACTATATCTAGTTCTCTTGGTGACTCTAGGCAGAACTGTGTAGTAGATCTGCGGTATTACAGCTGCCTTGTTAGCTAAATTCTTGTTTTGTACCTTATATGGAACGTTCTAGGCTTGGAAGTGTTTTTGTTTATTTTGAAAAAGTCTCCCTACCGATCTCTCCAAATCAACTTCTCATGAAAGCTGGATATCCACCACTTACTCCAAAACACCGGGCAAAAAGTTTTTCTTTTCGTCACAGACTGCATCCCAAACCTCTTGTCTACTTTCTTCATTTCTCCCCCGCTCATCTACTCATTTTGCTTTTGCAAAGGTATGTTAAATTGTGGATACGCACGAGTTGAATGTTGTGGTATTTAATGTAGTACTCATGGACATACCCAATCCACTTGGACTAAGTTTGGGCAACCACTGTCTCAACCATATGCAAAAGCTTGATAGACCGATGAATCGATGTATTAATTTCTCGAGACTTGGCATGACTAATTCAACACCCTACCTATTTCATTTCTTTATCGCTCGAAAATATCATTAGACAACAGATTACACCGCACATGTAGTTGAAATTGACGTATCACGAAAGGTCACCCAACCTCGTGGATGCGGGACGTTTATTGTCTGTGTGTATACGGGTAGCATGCATATCCGCATTCAGAATGAGCTTGGACTCTGGCTTGGCTTTGCTTTCAGTCTACCTGCAGTGTATGTAAAAAGCAGGTAGCTCCTGGTATGACTTCATATAGATAGTGATGTCTGAAAATGCTAGATGAAAGGGTGCAATGATTC